CCCGATGAGGCTGCAGCCTCGGCAGCCTCCAGGCTGACCAGCCACATCCACTGGCAGCTCCACCCAGGGGGCATTTCCAGCTCCCAGGGACCATCCCAAACCACTCAGCTGCAGACAAACAGCAAAATTTTACTTCCTCGAGGTCTTCCTCACACAGGTTGCACCTCACTATGCCCCTTATCCATCCCCAGCCTGAGCATTGGGGATCACCCAGGCTAAAGTTGTCCTTCCCCAGCTGCCACAAGGTCCTGCTGCCTCCCAGGTCCCAGGAAAAGGGGCAGTTGAGTCCCTGCTACTCACAGCTGTGAAAAGGGATCCATAAAACACTCCCAGCAGGCTGCAAAGCTCAGAATTTAAGAGGCCAATAAAGGGAGCCCAAAATGAACTCCTTTCTCTGTCTTTTTAAATCACATGCACTTTGATTCGATTACTCGATTTTATAGGAAAGGGGGAGGGAGATTCAATTATTTGATTCTTGATTTCTTAGCATAGAAATACGGACTGTGCAACCACAGAAAGGCAAGAATTCCTTCAAAGCAGCACCACAACAATTTGGTGGCAACATCAGGTTTATGGAGCTGTGAGAAATCAGCAGTTTCCCCTCCTGGGCTCCTCAGCAGAACCTGCTCCAGCATGAAAGAGTGCAGTGATATCTGAGCACAAAGTCCTGCAGCCCACCCACAAAATTACAGAGTGACAGGTGGCAGCTGCCTGGCTGTGTGTCCCTGAGTGCTTCCCTAGGGCAGAGCTGCTCAGGGAGTCACCAAATCCTTCCAGAACCCTGGAATTATGATTTGGGAGGAGGGGAGCAGGAGCTGCACGCTCACTCCCAGGCATCTCCAGCCTCCCAAAATCGCTGCTGGCTCCTTCCACAGGCTGACATAAAACTGACAGCAGGACCAGCCCAGGGGTGTCCAAACCATTTCCATCCAGGCTCGGGGTAACCACAAGCCTGCAAATTACAGGGATTTATCTCTGAGTGCTGGCCTGCAAGATACAGAGAGCTAAAACCCCCAAAGTCCTTTGGGATTAAACCCACCTGAACCCATCAGGGATTCCTGCTGGGAGGTTCTCCTGGGCTGCTGTGAGCTGGAGCAGCCCTCTCCCCCCTTTTCTGGTGCACACAACAATGCTGCCACACCAATAAAAGCTCAAATGGAGTTTTGGGGTCTGCTCACCCAAACCTGCTGCCTCCTCCCCTGAAGGAACTGGAAGGAAAAGGAGCATTGAGGAACTGCTCACCTGGGTGAATCCAAGCCTGGGGGGATGTCTCTGTCTTGAGGAAGGTGAGGAAGGCAGCCTGGCCCCCACCCACCACCTTTTCCACTCCCTGCTCACCTTCAAAGCCTGGCATTTAGCTCATCTCTGCTTCAGCCACTCAGGCTGTTAAGTGGGCACAGTTTCACTCCTAAAAGCCGTGTCGAGACCCTCTGGGAAACTTTTATCCTCATTTCAAGTGGAGTGCATTGTATTTCACGCCAGAGCTGTTCCCGTATCTGGAAACTTCTGGACTCACAAAGCTCATGAGAAACAGAAACAAACCCAGCAGAGAGGCTGGGTGACTCTCACCTCCACAGGAGGGACATCACCCGAATTTCTGGCTGAAAAACTCCTGCTTTGGAGGAAGAACATGCTTGACTTTGCCACCAGGTGCCAAAGGCAGCTGCTAAGTGTCACAGGAGTGAGGCAGGAGCCCAAAACCACGGCAGCAGGAGGAGGGAGCAGGGTGCTGCAGCATCACTGCCGGGTTCTGGGCTCGGGCAGAGCCCTGGAAATATCGATGGGACGCTGGCTGGAGGCCACTGCAGTGTTTGACCAGCTCACAGCTGGACACAGCAGATAACAGGAGAAAATTCAACCCCTTTTTCCCTCCCCTCACCTCTCCAGCAGGGCTGCCTCAAAAAGAGGAGGGAGGGAGGAAAGGAAGCCCAGTTAATGAGTTCTGCTGCTGTTCAGCAGCTTCCAGCCCTGCATCCGCCCAGGCTGGAGGTGCTGGGGATGTGGAGGTGCAGGATCAGGGGATCCCTGGCACAGGTGGGAGAGAGCCCAGGGAGCCAGGTGTGATTCCAGCTGGGGAGGAGCAGGAACAGAGCTCAGCCCCAGCTGGATCAGGGTGGGACTGAGCCCCCTGGGGCATCCCAGCCCCACTGAGGGGTGGCTGTGCTGCCCCATTAAGCAAAACCCCTTTTTTTCTGCCTCTGGTGTCTCACCCACCTCCAAAACACATCAGGACTGAGCCTGTGCTGCAGAAACCTGACTCCTGCAGGCCTCCCTCTCCACAGAGGTAATGCACCAGGCTGCATCTGATTTCTTCTCTCCCCTTGCAGCCCTTTCACCCTCCTTTCCCTATCTTGGAGGAGCAGATGCACCCATTCATAACCAAGCAGAAGAAAGTGTGAATTTGCCTTCCCCACTGCAGTGCAGCTGGCAAAGCACAGGAGGGAAAATGATGTTTTGCACGAATACAGAAATTATCTGCGCTGATCTTATTAGGCTTGAATGGGGAAGCGACAGAAAAATAAAGGAGGGAAGCGAAAGGCATTGTTTGGGTGTAGCAACATTATTGTTTATCCTCTCCAAGCACTCCATCATCCTAATCCCAGCATCTCCCACGGTGACAGGTCAGGAACAGAGATCTGTGAGGCTGCACGAAGCACAGCCTGCCTGAGGGATGCAAACCTGGCAAGGCAGCACCTCGGGGGAAGCCTCACCTGCAATTCCCAGGCAGCTCACAAACATTATCAGTGTTGAAAATATCCACGTGGCACCAGAGCACTGGGATAGGCAGGGGTGAGGGAGAAACAAAGGCTCAGGAACTCCCCAACCCACACCCTCACAGGGATATTCGTATTTATCACATGAATAAATCCCATGCCAAGGTGCCCAGGACACAAGAGCCAATTGCTTATGCTACAGGCAGCACAGCAACTCTGGCAAGTGCAGAAAAAACAATCACAAGGTGGAAATTCAAACAGAACACAAGTCACCTGCTATCTAAACGGGGGGAATTTGGCAAGTTTCCTCCTCAGCACTCACCACATCAAGGCTGCTCAATGATGCTAATTAAACAGGTCCCTCCCAGACACAGCCTGGAAGATTTACATCCCTCATTTGCATTTCTCAGTTAATTTTTCTTTCCTCCAAGGCACCATTTGAACGGCCACGGTGTGATTGCTTGGAGGGGTGTGATTTTGCAGGAGTGCCATTTGAAGATGAAGGGCTGTCCTGTCAGCAGCCCCAGGGCTGCTCCTCCCACCCCTGCTCTCCCACAGTGGGGCTCAGATGGGCACTGAGATTTTCTTGGGCTTGGTTTCACCAGCTGGGAAATAAAGAATGCTGGAATCAGCTGCTCTGGGTGATCCAGCTGCTGTCCCAGGGGCTGGGAATGGATCAGTCTGGGGATTCTTTTGAGGATGAGTCTCTGAAATACCCAGCAGCAGTGCAGCACCAGTCTCAGAGGTGTGATGTCTCCACCCAGCTCCCAAATCCAGTCCCAAAACCTGAGACCAGGGCAGCTCCAGGGGCTGGGACAGCAGAGCTGCAACAGAAATTTGTATAATTGCAAATAGCTGAAAGCAGCCAGGCTCCTGTGGGAATCTGTCAGCTCTGAAATGGCAGGTCAGTCACACTCGGGGGGAGGTGTCCCTGCCAGCAGCCCTCTCCTGATAAGGCTCTGATGAGCAGCAAGTCACCAGGCTGATAAGAAGTGGAAGGAGGTGACAGCTGGCATCGTGCTGCTGTCTGTTCTGCCCTGGAGTAAAGGCAAGGTCCTCATTCCTGCAATCCCAGCACTACCTGAACATGCTGCTGGCAGAGGAAATGGCCAGGGAGGAGTCTGGATGAGGAACTCAGGATGAACGTGTCCCACAAGGCGCTGACCCATCCCTGACCCAGCACCTGCTGGGAGTCTCGTTATGTGAGTGCAGCACCAGCCCTTCCAAAAGCTCCCCTGAGCTGTGTGTCCCTCACAGCCACCTGCAGAACGGGGCTGTGATGGGTCTGGGGGCAGTCTGGAGAGCAGTCTCCAAGGTGGGGAGGAACAAAGGGACGGGAGGAAGAAAAGGGAGAGGGGAACTGGTGAGACACCACCAGCCCTCTCCTCTGGAAGGAAACAACTTCTGGGAGGGGAGGGGAGCCAAGTTCAGTTTCACAGATGAACTCCAGAGGTTGTTTGCCAGTTTGTCTCACTGTCCAAGCCCTCCTGCAGGCTCTCCAGACCCAGCAGTGGCCAGAACCACGTTTCCCAAACGCCATCTGGTCACCCACGGGCTCTGGCCACGCCGAGCGCGCAGATGGCTCTGACAGGGGAAGCACTGCCCTCCCCTCCCAAAACAAAGCGTAAAAACCCAACAGGGGAGCCTGGCAGTCCACAGGCAGCGTTCCTGACTCGCAGAGATCCCACAGCTGACTCTCCCATCTGGTGGCTGTTGTCATGGCAAGCAGAGAGGGGAAGCAGCAGCACAAGAGCTGCTCGGTCCTTGACACACTCCATCCTTGGCCTGATGGCAGCTCCCCAGCAGAACAATCCCAACAGCAATTACCGAGGAGCTTTTAGGAAGCAAAAACAGATTAAAAAGCTATTTGAAACCTTGAGGCTGAATGCTGAGGGAACAGGAGAGCCAGGGCTGTGTGAGCTCAGCAAACAATGAGGAGACACAGAGACACTTCTTGGTGGGCCAGTTGAATGGAGCCTGCTTGTCACCGAGCCTCGGGGACAGCACTTGACAAAAGGACAATTGCTGCTGCTTTGTGAGTCTTGGTTGCAGTGTGGAAAACCTTCAGGGAAGGGCTGAGGAGCTGATCTGTGCCCCTGCCAGCACCAGCACCAGGCACAGAGGAGGGGACAAGACAAAAGGTGACTTTCAAGTGCAGGATTTGATTAAAGTCCAGCCACACCAGTCACAATTCCACTGGCTGGGTTATTGTCTTGCCTTGCCGGAGGATTTGGAGAGTATCTACAAAAAAAATCCTTTTTTTACTGTTTCACAAATGGCAAGGAGTTGTTACTGAGCAAAAGCTTTATTGTTTCCAGTAGGAAAACACCACATAAAAGTTGTGAGGGGTGGAGATGAGAACAAGAAAATAATAAACACAAATGACCAGAGCAGACTAAGCACATTCACTGAGCTCTTCTTGCCCACATTGAGCTGGCTCAAAAGACAGGTACAGATTTAGGATAATATTCCAAAAAAAGCCACAAAACACAACCAAGAGAATCACCACAAAGGGAAAAGTGGTCTTCAAAATAAAACAGTGCACAGAGCTGCAGATGTTCCTCTTTCAATTGTGCCTGGATCACATTGTCCAGGACCAGATCCTTCCCTCTGTCCAAGGAGTTTTTCCACAGCAGATTGAACAATTCTGGTTCAAACTCAGGTGGAATTACCCCATGGAGTTAAAACACAGAAGTAAGAAAGAAAAGGTTTCAGTCTCACTAGCACCAGAGCAACGTCAAATTTATCTCTGAGAGTGTTTTATAAAAGCTGGCCTCAGTTAAAAATCAAGCTGATGCCTCACAGTGGCACAGCAAGGATTGCCAGGCTCCTGTGCAGAGCTGGCACCCCTTGGTGTGGGAAATGAGAGTGGGAATGGGGACACGAGTGACCTGCCTGCCCTGCCCTGGAGTGAAGCACAGGGGACCCAAGGAGAGCTAGAAATGACACTCCCGATTTTAAAAGCTCTTTCCAACTCAGTGTAGGGCTGGTGATGAGAAAGGAAGAGCTTTAAAGAAAACAGAGTCAATTCCTAAAAGTCTTTTCCCTTCTCCTTCTGCTGTGGAATTAACTTTGGCTGGCAGGCCAGGCTGTCCGAGGCGCTGCAGTAACGAGCAAGACAAGCCTCACCTGGACTGCCAAAATCCTCAAGGCAAAACAGAACTCTTTTTGGTGCCTAAACACAGTGGAAACTGAAGACCCTACAGGCCTAAACACACTGGAAACTGAAGACCCTACAGCTCTGAGAAGAAACAGCCCTGAAACCACACCAGCACTTCAGCAAAAGCTGACAGCTGGAGTTCCTCTCTCAGACACAGCTGATGGTTTTGGCATTACCCATTCCACAGATGCAGTTAATGGCCAGGTTAACAGCAGACCACGCCATAAAACATCCCTCAGTGGAGAACAGCCTCATCCCTTGCTCTCTCCAACACTGATGGTGTGGACCTCACACTCAGTGGTTTCTTTTTCTGCCATCTCAGGGAGCCCAGGGGCTCCAAAGGTTTTGTTTCCATTTGTGAAAGGGCAGGAACAGACCACAGAGGAAGGGCTGGAAGCATTTCACCAGCAAGCTGCCACAGCACATGAACTGGGGCAGCAGTGAGGGAATGGCCCTCTGTTGGCCATGCTCATTTGGAAAGCAAGTCAGGGATTGATTTCCCATCTCCTGCCCGAGTGTTCCAGCACCCAATCTCATTTATCTTCATACTGCAGCCATTTGTAAGAACACACACTACATGCACACAAAGTGCCCCAGAGCAAAGGAAAACAGAACAAAAGAGAAATAACCAGGGGAAAGGCTGACATTAATGGGCACAAATTGCCTTTAACTCCGTGATTTCAGAGGGAACTTTTTGGAATCCTTTGTTTCTTCATAATAGACAGGTCAGCTCCAAAGCATTTCATAAAATCCACAGACTCCCAGTGTGGGTTTTGTTCAGGCCTTCAAAGATCTAATTGCTCTAGAGATGTGAGGTAATTTGATTTTTCCCATCTGTCAGGCCTTAGAGGGAAAATGTCCATTCTGGAGGATAAGCAGGACCAGGGCACGCAGTTTTCAACAGCCTGACTCATGATGACACCACCAGAGTCAGCCAGATGCTCAAGACTTCCAGGAAAAAGGCAAAAAAAAGGCCCTTGCTCATGTAAGGTGTGCACGTGGGAGGGGAATCTGCAGAGCTTTGCAGGATAAAGTCATTTGAAAGCTTTTATCCCATTTGGGCACTCACAGCCAGCTGGGCTGGGGCTGGGGGTGTGCTCCCCCCAGGAGCTGCAGCGAACACATCTCCCCTGACCCCCACCCTCCCATGAGCCAAGGGGAGTGAAAAAAACACAGCAAACTCCTTGGAGGGTTCCTTTACCCTGAGCAGAGAGGCAGGGAACAGGAGCACAGCTTCACCAGGTTCATCATCAGGAGCTTCTGGCTCCTGAAGCCCCCTCCAAACTCCAACCAGAACAAAACAATGACAGCAAACACAAGGAGCACCTTCCCCACGGGATCCACGGGCAAATCCCAGCCCCAGGCTCTCTGCTGGGGCTCTCAGAGGACTGGCAGGGGCTGTCCCAGCTGCCACCGTGCTGCCAGTGCCTGGCACAACGTCACCACTGGCAGCAGCTCCTGTCTGGAGTGGGATCTGAGGAGTGGCAGTGCTGGATCCAGGAAAAAGCAGCTCCATCTTCGCCCCCATCAGAGCCGTGTCCTGCTGTGGGCTCGTGGTTTGCCTTCAAAACAAACAAAGGACAAAGGTTTTGTTTGGAAAGCAGCAAAGGGGAGAGACTCCACACGGTTATTTCGTGTTGCTTTTTGTGTGCTCAGTGCCATTTTGAGAGCTCCCTAAAAATAATAAAGAGAACATCTATGCGTCATTAGTCCAGCAGTCAGGGCCCATTAGACTTGATTAAAGGAAGAAAAGCCAGGGGAAGGAAATGTGGAAAGGAGGAGAAATGAGGAGTTGTGCTGCTAGAAGTGCTCCTTCAGTAGGTGCTCCCCACGCCAGAGAGGAAGCCAAAGCTCAGCTCTGACAGATCTGCCATGAGATCTTCCTGCTCTGGGCCATGGACAGCAGGCACAGCACAGGGACAGCCCCAGAGCTGGGCACGGGCACTGCCCTGCTCTGCTCCAGATTTGTCTCCTGTTGGCTGAACAAACCTGAGCTGATCCCTTCAGGCCAAGCTCAGGCTCTGCTGGGACACACTGCTCCTCCTCTTGGAGAAAGGACAGGGGAATCACAGCATTCAGTGTCAATTGTTCAAGGCACCAGGAGTCCCAAAGCAAATTCCTCCCAGCAGCTGCTGCCTGACATCCCTGTTAAAAGACAGCCACGGAACCTCTCTGTGTGTTTACAAAGACTCCAAAATCCAGGCTTTTCACTTCTATCTTGCTGATTTCCCCTGCTCTTCCCTTCCCTGCTTTGTTTGCAAAGCTGACATCAACTCCTGCCCTTGGTGCTTTGTGCAAAATGCTGAATGGAAAGCTGGAGTGAATGTATTGCAGAGGGCAGAGAAGGAGTCTGAGGAGGTGGGGACAGGAGGCCAGACTGGCTGTTTGATCAAAGACCAGAGCACAGACCTCTGCAGGGGGAAAGAAGGCACAAAAATAGGAGTTTCATCCTCAGCAGCAGACTTGTTTCCTGATATATTGAGTGAAAGAGCTGAGAGAATGAATCTTTGTCATCCCTCTATTTTGAAGGAAGAAGCCTTCAATTTAGAACTCCATAAAGAGTTACAGGAGTAGTGAAAGTAATTTATTTTTTAGTTACTCAAGCCTTTATTTGCTGAACTCCAAGCCAGGCTTGAAAGAGCTGGAAATGTTTTGCTTCTACCACTCGAGGATGAAAATATTTTAATTCCCTCAAACACGGAAAGGGGCACAGGCTTCTCCTGAGGTTCATATTTACAAATGTATTGTATCTGGAATGCAAACTTTGAATCATTTCCTAATGCTGCCTCTACCCAAAGCTGTGTTTTATTTATAAGTACAGCAGGACCACTTGGTGCTCTGTGGATGTGAGGAGGCAGAGACAGCTCAAAGCTCCTCAGCCATGAAGGCACAATTCAATTTCTTCACTTTGGGGAAGACAGACAACTTATCCTCCTTGGCAGCAGGAAAACTCAATCCCAGTGAGCTCTGAGCAAAAGAGCAGTACCCAAAATGTGGTGAGGCAGCCAGTGAAGGGAGCAGAGGCTTGGATGGGTGGGGGTGAGGATCTTTCCTTCACATCTGATCCCTCTGTCCTTCCCAAACTGTGCCCTAAATGCAGGCACAGGGAGGAGCAGCAGGGATTTCCCACCTCTCCCAGCCTGCTGCAAAACCAACCCTGGAAATCCACACTAACAAGGAACAAGTCTGAAAACATTTAAGCAACTTTCTCACCAACCACAGGAAAACAAAAGTCAACTCCCCAAAGACTGCCATGAAGCAAGTAATTAAAGAAATTACTACCTCATTTGGAGCCTAATTACTGTTAGGACATATTTTTTTTTTCCCTTCCTACATGGAATGGAGTAGTCAGACCCACTGAAGCAAAATGTTACCTCCTCATGGTCCCTGAGGGAGCAAAGCAGACATCTGAGAAGAAGAATGGAAGTGAAAATAGAAGTTAATGCTTTAACTTCAAAGATGCCCAGAGAATTTCCTGCCACGACAATAATGCTGGATGGCTCTGCCTGGCTCATGTATTAACAGCTTGAATATTTATGAGCAAAAGTGGATGCCTAGCCCAGCCAGGGAGGCACTGAGCCCACAGAGAGACACCACCTCATTCCTAAATCCAGTCAATTCCTGAAAGACAGGACATAAATCCCCCCAAATTAGGGAGAGCTGGAAGCAGCACTCCCTGTCCATCTCCCTCAGCTCTGCTCAGCCTCTCCCAGCACAAAGGAGGCACCCAGGAGAAGGGTTCAGGCTGGACCTGGTGGCATCTGGGCATCTTTCCAGCAGGTCTCACCCCCTGCTTGCAGAGCAGAACATTTCTCACCCTCAGCAGGCAGTGCCACCCCCGTCTCAGCCCCCAGCCCCGTTTAACCTGGCTCTGTTGAAGTGCCAGCTGGTGCACCACTCTTTAAGTATTAATGATTTAGACAACACATTGGCAAGCAGGCAGAGATGGGGAGGCTGTGATTTGCACTCGCTCATTAGCTTCTCTCCTGGCTGCCTCTCAGACCTGATTCCAGCAGGAATCTGAGACTCTCCAGCCCCACAGCCCATGCCAGGCTCATTCCCCACTCCCCAGCAGCCAGCTGCTCGTGGAACAGCCAGCAGGATTCACCATTTCTGGGACAGATTCCTCAGAAGATGCTGAGAACTCCATCAGCTGGCACCCATCAGTGCAGAACTTGCTGCTGATCTGAGGGGGATGACTTTGGTTTCATTTACCCCCTGCAGCAGCCCCAAGCTCGGATTTGTTATCTCCATTAAAAGCTCTCCCTGGGCTAATGAAAACCACTGTAAGATATTGATTATTTCTTTGTTTCATTCTGTTTAATACTCCCCTTCCTTAATAAAAACATCATAATCAACACAAGTGAGGATTTTGCTCTTTTTTAAGGCATCTCTCAGCATCAGCTGTGCAGCCAGAACAAGGTGAGTCACCTGCCCTAGCTGGGAGCAAGTAAGAGGGAAAAGGAAGACTGTGCTTCTTCCATATGTGCAAATTTAATTTTTTTGTAGGATAAAACGTTCTTCAGCACAATGAGTGCGTGACCTTCCTCTTGAAAGCTATCACGTCAGAGCAGGCACCTCCAGGAACTGGAGCTTCAGAAGCAGAAGGAACACGGGGCTTTTGAAAGGCTTTGAGAGCAGGTGGTAAAAGAAAAAAAAATTAAAAATAATAAAACTGGCAGCCTCTCAACTCAGCACTCTTCTGAAACTTTGGCTCATGGGCTGAGGTTGCCTAAATCCCAGTGCAGCTCTGACAATGAGTCATTTTATGACAAACTCCAGGCTTCATTATCTGCCTCAGCAAAGCCCAGGCGGAGCTGGAGCAGTGCGCTGGAAACCTCCAACTTCTCCTCAAGAGCTCCTTGTCCTCCCCTGGCCAAAACCCTGCTGCTGGCTTGGTCTTCAGGCTGAAAGAGCCCAGGACTGTGAGGGCAGCTGCTTTTGCAGCACCTCTCCCCAGTTCCCTGCTCTGGAGGTGGCCTGGGATTTCAGGATGCTCTGCGAAGTCGCACTTGAGAGCGGAGTTAGAGCAGAGGTGAGAAAAGAAGTGCAAAGAAAGAACAACACCTGAGGTGATAATATGGAGCAAAAATTGCTCCTGACAGGGTGCTCTAAAGGTGAAGAAAATCATCTTTTAGCAGCCCAATTCTGCAGCTGAGGATCAGCAGTTGAAATGAGGAAGGATCTTTGCCCCTTGCTCTGCTTTTGGGGCAGAGCTTGGGGAATGTCCAAAAGGCAGGGAGATGCTGGGAACCCTGAATCCAGCACCCACCACTCTTTAAATACATCAACAGCAAGAGCAGCCTCTGTTTGTTGGCAAAGAGAGGCACCCAAAGTGCTGAAGTACTCACTGCTGATTTCCTGCCTCCCTGCCCGGATTTGGGGAGCCTGTACCAGAGCTCTGGTCTGAACAAAGCAGCCCCTTCTGCAGGAATATACTGAGAAAAAGATGACCCCAGACATAAGAAAGATCTTTACAGAAACTCCCCAGGCAGCCAACCTAGCTTAACCTTTTCCTTAGCAGGATCCTCTCTGCATCTCAGGGCCAACTTTAACTGGGCTCAGGAGATTGCTACAGTTTTCCTTTTTTTAAATATCAGCCCATGCTGCCTGTCACTTCTGCTCTCCCCCATCTACAGGCAGATCCCACTGGAAAGATTTGACCCCTTGTGCCAAGCTTTGCATATGGAGTTTTTAGCAGGAAAAAGGGGTTTTTTTTTCTTTTTTTTTGGCCTCTGAAATAGTGTTTGCACTGTCATGGCCAGGCAGATGTTGGCTCGAAGCTACAGAACACTGAGTACAAACACATTGTCCAGCAGTGGATCCATCCATCCATCAGAGGCAGCACCCAAAGGGTCACCTGCTGTCCACCAACACCATTCCAATCCCAAGGACAACCTGCAGCTCCTCTCCACCGGCAGCAGGAATCCACCCTCTCTAATCCTGCCCAACAAGAGCTTAAAATAAACCCCCCAGCCCAGGGCAGGCTCTAATCCAGGGGGAGGAAGGACAGAGCAGAAGAATCACTTGTTTGGTTTGTCTGGTGAAAAACTAAAAGAAAACTACAAGTTTTCTGGGAGCTGGGGAGGGAGGGAGGGAGAGCAGAGGAAAAATTTTGTGCTGCCTGTTTCTGGCAGGAAGCGTGAGGAGGGAGGGGGACCACAACTCCCTGGTGCACTGAAGGATGAACCTGCCTTCTCTAATCCAATTTATGCCTCAACATGGCCAGCACCAAGCAGGCTCAGGAAGAACAGGAGAGGCAGTTCAGAGGGCAGGAATGCTCAGGAGGGAGCAGGGCTGGATGATAACTTGAGGGGTTAGTGACTAAATTAGTGGGAGCTGCAGAGAGAACACATTTGCATCTCTTTCAGCTGCTTCAGGTGTGATAGCAGCCTCTGCTTTCCCAGTCACTTAATTGTTCTGAGGTTTTTGAGGGGGAAAAAGTGTCTTTCTTCTGCACTGCAGAGTTCTGGGAAGAGCCATGCTTGGCTTTAAGAGCAACCTCACTTCAGGAAAAATGTTACTCAGTCTCATAAAGCTGCTGGACTTTGCTTTGCTTCAGGAGGAGCTCAATCTGTTCTGCTGGCTCTGCAGGACACAGAGGAGCTCTGCAGGGCCACAGCCCCAGGCTCCGAGTGCTCCTGGCCGTGGGTGCAGGCAGCTCCCACCCCAGACCATTACTCATGATGCAGAAGAAGGTTTTGCATTCAGGGAAGAAGGTGTGACACTGCGACAGCATCTGCTAACACAAAGAAAAGAAGCAGAGAAAAGCGATCGCGGGGCCACAGCTTTCTGTGCCTCTGGGAAAGCACACAAAGCCTCTGGGAAAGCTGTGCTGCCAGGGAATCCAGCCCCAAAAAAGCAGGGATGTGCCCCGAGGTGGGGTGCAGCTTACCAGGGGTGCCGGTGTCGCTGTGGCGCCTGCCCGAGGCTCGGTCACTCCGGCCGCTCTCCGTGGGGCTGAGCTCGGCCCCCTGCTCGCTGCCCAGGCTGCTGTGGCTCCCCCACACCTGGGGGCACGGGGGGGTCCCCAGGGCTGTGCCCCTGGCCTGGCTGGGTCCCCTGGTGGGTGCTGCAGGGACAGGACAGAGATGCTGCTGAGGGCGTGGGAAGCGGGTGTTGTTGGGGAAGACGAAACAGGAAAGCCTTATAAATGTGATTGCCTAGCAAAAGATTTTGAGAACATGGAAACTATAAGCGAAGCAAGATTTAAATGAGAGCAGGCTTTGAGATATCTTAGTTACTGAGCAACTGGAAAGCAATGGTATGGCTGGCTGAAGGTAATCCCCTTTTGATGGAACAATCCCCTCTGCCTGCAGACAGGCCCAAGGGTCAGAGCATACCCTACTAGCTGGGCAGAAGGGGTCCAAAGAGCAGTTTTTAGGGTTTAAAATGTAACACAGTACGGTAATGTAATGATTCTTATAGGCCGTATGTAAATGCTGTAGGATTTGTATCTTGTACTAGATTGGCTAGTGAGAATTAGAATATTCAACGCAGAAGAAGATTTATGGTATTGTAACGGGAACTATTGGTTCATTCTCTCTTTACCACGCTCTTGCATTCATTCTCTTTACTCTTTCTCGCTCTCTCATTCTCTCCACCACTCTTTTACCTCTCTCTTTGGAGCCTGTTCAGAGCTGTGGCTGCAGCTCCCAGCAGGGCCCTGCACCCAGGCCCTGTGCAATAAACCACAGTTCCCTCTGCAATAAACCACAGTTCCCTCTGCAATAAACCACAGTTCCTTCTGCAATAAACCACAGTTCCCTCTGCAATAAACCACAGTTCCCTTTGCAATAAACCACACATTCCAGAGATCCCTTGTCTCGTCCGTCCTGACTGTCCTACCCTGCCACTCCTGCAGGCTGTGGGCACTGAGCCGGGTCCTACAGGAGCAGGAACATCCCAGCTCCAGCCAGGAGCCCTCAGGAGCAGGGTCAGCCCCAGGTCTGCTGCTCTGCTCCCAGGAAACACCAGTGATCCCAGTGCTGTGAAGCCAGGGGTGAGGAGCTGGTGCCAGCAGCTGTCACATTCACATTCTCTGAAAAATCCCTCCTCCCAGGATTTTTCTCCTGGGAAGCTGAGAAGCCTCAGAGAAAAAGGAAAACAATAATTATCTCATTTGCTTCTCCTGTGTTTTGCTCCTTTGGAATGTGTTTGGAGATTGTTTATCCAACAGGTGACTGTTCCCTTGGTTCCATGTGAATTGTTTTGTCTCTTTGGCCGACCAGTGCCAAGCTGTGTCAGGACTCTGGAAAGAGCCACAAGTTTTCATTATTATCCTTTTAGCCTTCTGTCTGTATCCTTTCTGTATTCTTTAGTATAGTTTAGTATAATATAATATAATATAATATAATATAATATAATATAATAATAAATTAGGCTTCTGAGAACATGGAGTCAGATTCATCACTCCTCCCTGTCACGAGGGACCCAGCAAATACAATAAGGAGCAGCTCCCAGCTGCTGGAATGCTGCAGGCCATGGAAGGAGCCAGGGAGAAATCCCAGGGAGAAAAGCTCAGACCCTCACCCAGCACAGCAGGCAGGGCAGCTGAGCCAAGAGCCAAACATTGGAGCACTTTTCACCTCCCACCCTCCAGCCACAAGGAACTGCAGCTCCTCACCCATTCCTGCTTGGAGCTTCCTCCCTTGAGAGCCTTTGGATCCCACGGGTTTGTCATCCAGGCTGGAGGAGCTGAGCTCTGAGTCGCTCTCGCTGTCACTGGAAACTGCTGCAGGGAAGACCAGGGGGAGGAGAGGAGAGAGCCACTTATCCACAACGTCCACAAACACTTCCCAGAGAGCCGCCAGATGGATGCAAATCAAACAGGAACCAACTCTGACTCCCTGCTCACCTGCTCCCTCTCCAAAGGAGACCCCACCTGCAGGTCCCCCACAGCTGCATGATGTGGTTTTACTCCTTGCAGATGACTGATAACTCTGGAAGGTGCAGACACCCCCAGGGCTTCTCTCCTAAAGCTGACAGGGACCATGGGGGTGCTCCTGTGCCACTCTCTGCTCCCACTGACCCATCCCAGCACCCCAGCAAGCCCCCTCCTCCTGGTATTTGCTGCCTCCCACCCCAAGTGACCCTCTAAGGGATGGTGCAGGGCTGGTTCCTGCTCAGCTGCACCTGCTCCACCCCTGGGTGATGTGGGCAGAGAGGCTGTTCCCCTCCAAGCTGCATTTCCAGCGTGGCAGGATCTCAGAGGAAAACACCAGATAAATCCTGAGCACATCCAACCATCCCCATCAGCAAATTCTGTTACTCCAGCATCCCCAAAGCTCCAAAGGGTCACTGCTTTTCCTCAAGGAGCCTCTTTTCCTGTCTCAAAGCTGCTTTTTTTCCTCTGTGTTTTTCTTCCCCCTGAATCCTGGCTCTCTTCCTGCTGCTTTCCACTCCCCATATTTTCCAGAAGAGCTGGAGAAGCCTCGTTTTGCCAGACACAGCTTCCCAAACTGGCAGGTTCTTTCCACTTTTCCATGCAATTATGCAAACACCTCTCCTGCTCACACTGGTGTAAAAGATAACTCGACTGACAGCTGCTCTGGGTAAAATAAAAATGGTGTTTTCCCCAATTCCTGGGTTTTTGTGGTGGTTTGATTGATCTCAGAACAGAAATGGTGGGGCTGAGGAGGAAGGTAATGGGAAAAAAATCTGGTTTTTGTTTGAGGGATTGCACTTCTCCATCTGAGCAGGCAGATACCAGCTCTCCTGGCAGCCACTTCAAACAGCAGGTCCCAACTCCTGGTGAAAAGTACAAAATCAGCCCACGAGGGATGTAAAGTAGGTGACACTGCAACCTGCAGCTCTCCTGTGGGAAAAGGAAGCCCCAATGATTTTTTTTTAGACCCACCAGGATGTCTCCAGAAGCTCACACTGCTGTGAAAAGTGATTTTCTCTGTGACTGAACAAACCCCAGCGTTTCTCCCAGTGCCCAGGCTCAGAGAGGGACGTGGGTGAAGGGGAACAAGGTGACAAGCATGGGGTAACACAGAGCTGTCATTTCATCTCTCCAAACCCCTCAGCACTCCCGAGGGCAGGAGGATGGGAATCCCTCCCCTTGCACAGAGCAGGAGCTGTCAAATATTCCTGCCAAGCACCTCTGCAGGCACTCCTGTATTCAAGGATCTGTACTACACAAAATATTTCATTTAAAAAAAAGAGGAATGAATACCTAAAGTCATGCTAACATCTCTGAGGATATTAAAGCTGGCAGCCAGTGTTATTGCAAAGCATTATTGAAGTTGCCCTGGCAGGCAGCTCCTCACACACACCCTGCACAGAAAAAGGCTCTTTTAAAAGCTGGGGGGCTGCAATGCTGGCTAAGAGCCTTCAAAGCAAAGGTTTGTCTAAAAAAACATCTTCATTACTACCTGGGAATTTCAGGTTCAGGAAAAACATCTTCAGAACTCCCTGGGAGAGGTGGGGAGTTCTATATAAACACTGTTAAAAACAATCCATACATACCAGAGTGGGTTTTTTTTCCTATATAATCCAAATCTCAGCTGCAAGACTCCTTCTGACCATCTTATTGCTCAATTCTCTCAGAAAATGAAGTCCTGGTCCACTTGGTCATCATCTTTATTTTTTTTTCTTTTTTTTGCTCTCCTGGATTCACAAAATCCATTTCCTCAGAACAGCTCCTTCCTCCATGAATCCTCTGAAAATGCTGGGAGCCAGGATTTATTTGGAGAAGGCCCCAGTGAATCAGTGGAGGTGACTTTAGCTGCCTGTCCTCCTGCCATTCAGCAGCTCAGAGAGAACCAGCACAAGAGGAAGAAAATATTAATGACTCGAAGGCACTCTCACCACAGGACCAGCCCTGTCTGCTCTCATTTCCTCTGCTGCCAATAAGAGTGTCTTTTACTCACTGCACCAAAGTCTCCCTTTCAGGTAATCCTTCATGCAAACCTTCTGCTGGCACTTTCCAGAGCCCAGAAGTATTAAATCTGGTGTTCCAGCAGTTGCTGATATATCAATAAGAATTGTTGGACAGCTGTTCTTTCAGAGGATGGAACAGATTTATCCCTATCTCCATCTGACTGGGAAAAGAAAAAAAAAAAAAGAAAAAAAAGAAAAAAAAAGCTCATAAAACAAAATCTGCCGAGATAAAACTTGCTAGAAAAGCAATATTTCCCCAGGGAATGGGTCACTCACTGGGAGCCTGGAGCCCTGCAGCTGCTGGCAGAGCCCAGCTCCCTCCACACGTGGCTCAATCCCCAAGCCAGGGGCACCCAGGGGATGGTGAAGGACAACTGCTGGCTGTTCTACCCCAGAGACAAATCAGGACACGGGGAGGCTGTGCTGAGCCAAGGGGAAGGAGCACTTGGCTGGGGCTGGGAGCTGGTGTTAAATGTGTGTTTTTGGCACAGGAAGAGCCATCCCAGCTCCCCGGTGCTGCCAGCGCAGGGCAGGGCCCAGCCTGGCACACACACAGCCCTTGGCACCTCCTGCAGCTGCCAGAAACAGCAAAAGCACGTGGGAATCACAGCTCCAGCACAGCCCCAGGATGAGCACAGTCCCTGAGCAGGGCTGCCCTGCAGCACCCAGATTTTTGGCAAGCACAGAGAGCGGGGAGGGCGACAGCTTCCTGGTCACTGCAGGTGGGGAAGTGAGAGAAAATGAGGATTTTTACAGCCCGGGGTCCCACTGAGGGCAGCTCCCCTGCCAGATCACACCCTGTGCCCCTCCAAGAAGAGGTGACTGGACCCAGCCCTTGTCCCTTTCAGGAGCAGCACAAGTTGCAGCTTTGCCACTGCAAAGTTGGCAAGTTGGGTGTCTCCTTGGTGGCCTGCAGACGCTCCCCAGCACATCCCTCTCTGCTCCATCCCTCGGGGATTTGGCCACTGCATCCCCCCTTGCCCAACTGCTGCTCCCGCGCCTCTGGCACATCCCATGACTTGGCAACAGGGATGGAGCAGGAAAATCCCCCAGGGACCAGCAGGCAGCCCTCCTGCCAAAGAGTGCAGCAGCTCAGGGATCACACTTCTGTTTGCTTCCCACCTTTTTCCTGCACAACTCAGAGCCTGGATGAGGAAAACCCTGCTGCTCTTGCTCCCTCCTCCTGACCCAGTGCAGAATCCCACCCACATTCCAGCACATGGAGCAGAGAGCTGCTGCCCAGCAAAAAGAAATATTGCTGCTATTCTCCTCCTGACAATACATTTGTGCCTTAATTAATAGCAGGGTTCCCATGGCAACTGCTTGTTTATAACAGAAAAACTAAAGGCACCAGCAAATCCCAGTGTCAGCGAGCACAGGAGAAATACTGGGCGTGCAAAAATAAAACTTCTGCCTTCCACCCTCCTGCAGTGGGAGCAAATTCCCAGGTTCTGGCACTGATCCCTCCCTTTGGAGGGGGAAAAAGGGACTCCTGAAGTTTGTCCCATCTCTGCTGCACGGCAGCTCCTGGCATGGAGGGTGCCCAGGGGCTGTGGCAGGACTGGGCTGGCCCCACCTGAAGAGCTCAGAGCTGGCTCCTTCAGCACATCAGAGACCAGCAGAGGGGCTGGACAGGGCTTGGCCAAGATGATGGGAACCCCGGGGAGAGCAGCCTGTCAGAGGCAGGAGTGTTAAATGCCAGAGCTCATTCCCAGGAACATCCTGCCAAGCAAGCTCCGGGGCTGTGCTCCGAGCTGCAAGGACGTGTCTGGGGGAGCGTGCAGGAGGTGTGAGCTGACAAATGCCATCAGCCAGGCAGGGGGAACCAGCTCAGCCCAGCTCCAGCTGCAGAGTCACCGTGGCAGTATCACGGATCCACATCTCCACGGGGGAAGGAGGCTGGAGATGTGGATCTCCACGGCAGAGCTGGGGGATGACAAACAGCAGGAGCCCCAGCACTGGCAGCTTCAAAGGAGGGAAAAGGAGGGGGGAGATGCACAAGCTCCCAGCTCCAGAGATGAATTACAGCCTGCAGTGCCCACTGAAAGCTGGCCAGAGGACAGGCAGCCTCACAGAGAAGGGCAACAGGGAAAAAAAAAGCACCAGAAAATAAAGCCATAAATTAATATTACCCAAGCCATAAAGCAGCAGCCAGACAAACATCAGAGAGCAGGGACAGAGGCAGCTCACCACCCACATCAAAGCTTACCAAAGGTCACTTTGCTGTCCTCCCCCTGCTCCTGCCTGTATTTATGGGGAAGCCTTCTCCAAAAAACAGAAATCAGCCGAAAAGCTGAACTAAGCAGCAGGCCAGGCCTGGGCTCAACAGCTTCAACTCTTAATGTGAACAAAAAACAACCTCATCAATCAGTCCCTCTGCTAAGACAACTCCTTCCAAGCATCTCCTGGAGGGCAACACAACCATCTACCATTGATCTAATTTGTCTTTAATTACAAAAGTTACAGTAGGGCTGGGAGTGCTTTCTTAACTGGGCCCTGAAGAGCAGCTTTGTAAACCCAAGGCTCCTGAGGTTTCTTTATTAAAAGGTTATTTCCCCCTGCACTTCTGCTAAGTGGAGGAGTGCATGCAGCTGGTTCACTCGAGAGGTCTTCTCCAGCTGAGGGGATCTAACAGCAAAAAACAGAAGGGGAGAGGCCAGACAGTTCTGCTAATCCACACAGAGAGAAAGGAAATCAAAGCAGACTGGCAGCAGCTCTGATTCTGCAGCACTCACATGCTGGCAGAGCAATTCCTAACCCAGCTCACAGTGACTTGAGGAATCTGCCCAGCAGAGCAGCAGAAACGAGGAGCAGGGAGGGAGGGAATGGGCCACTGGGTCAGCCTTGGCTGCACAGTGCTGTCCTGCAGTGGCACAGTCCCTGGAGATCAGCAGGAGCAGCTCCTCTCTGTTCCATGGCTGCGTAGTGAAGGAGAAGGAATGAAAAACAGTGGGGTGAGGGCTGCAAGGAATGGAGGAAAGCAGGGGTGGAGTGTAGGACAGGCACTCCAGGAGGACTGGGACCAATCTGGGTCACCAACCTGCACTTAAATATCAGCGAATCCTCCAAAAACCACGGAACTCCAACATCCACGTGGGGAACACGCCACACCTCGTGGGACAACACCTCTAACAGACAACTTCCCTGACTGCTGGGAAGCAAGAGGAGAAGGCAGCTCCTTCTGCAACCCTTCCTGGGGTGGGAGAACCAACCTTTTCCCCTGGCCCAGGTGAAGGAGCGGCTGCTCCCGACGCTCTCGGGCTCGGCCGCCTCGCCCTGCCAGGGCTGGCCCTGCAGCTCCAGGGCTCTGCTGCTGCTCTTCAAGGGCGTGATGTACTTGGGCAGCCCTCTGTAGAACCACGCCCCAGACCTCTTCCAGACCTGCCAGAGACACAGACAGGACACCTTAAGCTGGGTTTTTACAGCGAAATGAGCTCCCCATCAAGCTCGGCCGAGCCGCTCGCTCCCAATCCCAAATTCCTGCCCAGATTCGCCTCTGTCCTCCTTCCACAGCTGAAAAATCCCAGCTGTGAGGAAGCAGCAGGTACAGATGGAAGGAGGAGCAGAAGGTGATGGCAGAAGTGCTGCCTCATGCTGGACCTGCAGCACAACCCCAGTGCTCATCTCACAGAGCAATTCAGGCCAAGCCAGGTCATGTAACGAGCTTGAAAACCCCAGAATGAGAACAACACTCAAATAACCTGAACATGCAGCAGGAAATGGACCTCGAGCACTAAACTGTAATATCTGCTGTAAGAACAGCCTCTCCTCTCCAATTTAGCTTTAATGCAGCTTATGATGAAGGCACTCTATTAAGTATATTTAATATAAAGCGTGCTGTAAGCCAGGGGAAGGGAGAAGGGTGGCAGCTCAGACAAGGAGAAATGGCCTCGTACAAACCTAATTCTTGTGTGCCTTCCAGCAGCCTGATAATGAGCTAATGACACAGCCAGGGCAAAAATAAGTTAACATAGTAAAAATATCATTTTTTACTTCTGGCACTTCTGCTCAGAGTGAAGGAGATCATCAGTGTTCCCACGATCATCCAAGGTCCCAAAGCACTTTACACACAGTTTCATCACGATGGCAGTGGGTGCAAATGCAGATATCCCTAATTGCAGCAACACATTTGCAATTTGCCTTTAGAGCTTAATGAAAGCAGAGGGCAGTGACAAAACCTGACATTCAGGAGGACACCTGTAGTGACAAAACCTGACATTGAAAAAGCAGGACAGCAGCAGCACCACTACACTGATGGCTGCCTGGTTCCCAGAGCCACCAAGAGAGCTCAAATCTCTGTGTTTGGGGTCTTGAAAGCCAAGTGCAGGTGATCTGAATGCAGAGGGGGAGCTGGGAATGTGGTTTTTAAAGAAATCCACCCCGCAGGAGAAGAAAGCAGAGCGCTGCTGTGACCCAGCACACGTGCAAGGGGGAGGCTCGTGCATCACAGCAGGGTCTGCAAACCAGCAGGTGAGAGCATCCTGCAGCTCCACCAACGTTCTCCTGCTGGGTAACCACCCAGCAGGAGGGTGAGTCTGCCATCCAGGCAAAAAGCTGGGAAGCCAATTTCCCCCAAGACTGCAAGTTGTTGTTCTGCAGAGGGGGTTTGGCAGGCAGGACACCTCAGCAGCTCCTTCTCCTCCGTGCCAACAGCCAAAGTGACCCAGCCTGGCAAGGCACAGGCTGACACAGCTCCTTCTGTCCCTTCTGCTGGCACGTGGGGACTCGCAGCAGTTGGTGCAGTGTGTCAAACAGCACATGGCAGATCAGCACAGGGACCCTGCAGGAACAGGCTCTGCTTGCTGAGAATCAAGAAATGCAACAGATTTTGAAGTGCGGGACAGACATCTCTGCACAGAGCTCAGGTACACGTGGCCCGTGCAGGAGCTGCAGGCTGGGCAAGCCCAGGGGTCCCTGAGGAAGGCTGGAGGTTTTGGGAGCAGCAGGAGAACAGGGACGGGGCTGGAAATTGTCCATCCCTGACACACGCTGGGGATCCGGTGCACACACACCTTCCCTGGATGAACTGCTGGGGAGGAAACAGCCCTCTGGTACAGCCACTCTCTGAACAGACCTTGCAACATCTGTAATTTAATTTGAAGCACTGGAGAGACCTATTATCTTCAGGCGAGCTCCAATTTAGACACACCATAAAACCAATCAGACACAGCACGGGTGGCTGGAACAAAGGCTGGTCACCCCCAGGTTCCTCACTACCCCAAAGCAAGTCGTTACAGAAAGAGTTAATGACATAACACCCCCAGCTCTGATGTGGTAATACTACTATAAAATTGATTCTCTGCATACATATTCCCTTTAAATTGGTGCTTCTAATAGAGTTTGGTCCTATTATCGCAGCAGCGAAATTGTTTTGAAATCAGCTCCGAAATAACTGCAGCAAGATGCTGTCCCCTGGATGGATTCAGTCCCTCTGGCCCTCCAGGTTGGCAGCACAGCCCATCCCAAAGCACCAGGGATCACATCCTGCTCTGCACATGGGGCAGTTTGAGCTCAAAACTCCATGTTTTGATCCAAGGTTGATGTTGTTGACTGCTATTGATGGGATTTGATTGATGGCCAGAGTGGCCTGACAGCAAAGTCCTTGCTTGATTTTAGATTAATACAACTGTAACAGAGCCTTGAGAATAAAATACTTGTTTACCAGCAGGAGTTTACTCTTACCAAGGAAGGGAGGATGCACATTCAGGTGAAATTTGTTCCCCACAGCAGCCTGAGTTTGGGTGGAGCTGGAATGTCACCAGGGAGAGGGACAGCCATGGCCATGACAGATAAATGCCTTTTACAACCCTGATAATATTCCCATTAAAGCTGCATCAAGCCATCATTGCAGCTATGGAATGACACACGCAGAAGCAGATGGGGATTTTATCGAGCATTTTCAAGTGCAGCCTGGAAATGGGACCTGACAGAGAATCACTGGGCCCTGGTGAGACTCATGTTGCTGCTCTGAGCATACAAGTGCTAAAACAAGCTCCTGAAGAGGGAAAACATTAGGGCTTGCTGATAAAGAGGTGGATCACAGCTGAGGGAATCACAACAAACACTTGCAGTCTCCCCAGAGCCCTCCTCACCAAACCACATCCCCCAAACAGAGATGCTTAGAAAAGAGCTCTGCTGCAAAGCCACATTTTGCTCCACCATCTCCTGCCCGTGCCATGCAGCGTTCCCACCCTGCAGCCCTTTCCTCTACAGCAATTTGGGCTCGGTGACAAAGCCACGTTTTGCTCTATCACCTCCTGCTCATGCCAGCTCCCACCCTGCAGCCCTTTTTCACAGCGACCTGGGCTCGGTGAGAGGAAAACCACCACTTTTACCTTCCCACGCTGACACCACCAATACCAAAAGGTGGGGAAGCAGCTTCCTGTGGGCTACAGCCAGGAAAAAGGCACCTGCAGATGCAGCCACCCTGGGAGGAGCTGCTGGCATGCCCTGCCTGCAGCACAGCCCCTCTCTCTGTCCCAGCTCTCCAGCACGGCCCTGGTACTGCTGGGGAGAGCCAGCGCTCCTCAGCCTCGTTATCTGCATTCATCTGCCTTTCCATAACACAGAGATTTCCAATTACATTATTTACAGCAAGCTGCTGTCGACTCCCACATTGGGCACTTGAGGATGAAGGAAATTAAAAGGCAGTGGAATTACCATTCCAAGCTTTGTTTCTGGAATAGCAAAATCCATCGCCCCCCTGACCCCGACGTTTCTCAAGCTGCAGTGCCTGCCAGCCTTCAACCATTTATCATCCCCCATTCAATCAGGCCTCTTTTTTTTTTTTTTCTCCCACCCGTGGCTCTATTCTAGAGGACACTATTTTGAGTCTAACTACTCGCTGCCACCCCCAAAATAATATGGCAGAGGCTATTGATGAGTTCTTTCAATTGCAAACAGGTGCACATCGCTCCTATTCAATCCAGAGTCACCCAAAATAAACACCCTTCTCCATCCGTGGGGTGTTTTGCCAGGAAATCGTCACGCCAGGCAGGAATAACCCCAAGCTATGTTGCTTTACAGTGTTCCAAGTGGTAGGAGTGGATATTTGAAAAGGGAAGCCCCGGGGGCAAAAGGGGAGGAGATGACTCTGCTCCTCCCTTTGCGTGGTTTGTTGTGATGAACTGAGAAATGCAGCCAGCCTTGAAAATGCTGTGTAGTGGAGGAGAAGGAATGAAAAGGAAAGTGAAGCAGAGAGGGCAAATTAAAACTTTTAACAGGTCCCGGGTAGCTGACACTCTCTTTCATATTCGAGGGAGTTTAAGAAAAAAAGCTTCCCCCCCACCCCACTTAAACTGCTTTCATTATCCTTACAATTCTGGATGTGTCAATTCAAATGTAAATGTGCACAAACGCTTCCAAGACGATTTTAATTACAATGATAGCATGGCTAATTATGGATATATATATAAAAATATATGTATAAGGGGTAATTCAGGAAGGTGCACTGCAGAATCTGGTGCTACCAGTCAAAATAAGGCTGTGCAGAGAGTTAAAGGGCTGGGCAGGGATGCGACAAAACCCAGCAGGTCCCTTTTCCCCTTCAGGCCAGGAGGTGACAGGCAGATTTCGGCCAGGCACAGCTAATTCAGGATGGGCAGTGCTGCTGTGCCAGAGGCCTGGCAGCAGGGAATCCTTCCAGCTGTGGATTTACCAGCAGCACTGCTGCCAGCCAAGTTCTGCTGCTGCAACCTTTGCGCTGCAGGAGCCGCTCCCCTTCTGCCCCGGGATCTCATTCCTGGGGAGTTCCACTGCAGACCCACAGCCCGTGCTGGCTGCAGCCAGGATCAGCATCCCTGAGCTCCCCATGGGATCCTGCAGGATCCTCTGACTGCTGGAAGGTGAAGCAAGATCAAAGAAAGGAGCAGGGAAGGAGGAAGGGAGATTCTTGCCCTCAGAAGTGAACGTGAGCGTGGCTGAATTTGGTTCTACCTTTGCTTGCAGGAGCACTAAACCACAACCCACAGCATCCAAAGACACTGTGAAGGAAAAAACACCCACAGAATCCTGGAAAAACCAAAGGAGGGTTTTCCACAGCTCCCTCTGCAAACAGCTGGGACAAATGCCTCGGGAGGGGTGCAGGTGAGGTCTGGTGGTGAGGCACTGATGGTGTGAGGCTGCTGGGGGATGTTCCCTTTGCAGACACAGCCCCTCGCCCTGCCCATCCCCTGCTGCTCTGTCTGGGATGCCTGGATGCAGGCAGAATCCCAGGAAGCAGCAGGCAGAGCCCATCCCTCGCCTCCACTCTCCAGAAATAAGAGCGGATCGCGGCTCTGCAGCACAGCCCTCCCAGAGGAGCCTCCCAGGGAGACAGAAAGCAGCAGAGAGGCTGAGGACAGGATTCCCAGAGGGATCTGTGGGCACCAAGCACTGGAGAACTGATGTTTCCACAGCTGGCTTTGAGCCAGGCTGGGTGATGGTTTAATCACAACCAAGGCTGCAAAAGGGGGACCCTAACCCCAACCTCAACCCTAATGCATCACTAAACTTCTGCTGGCTCAATTCCAGCCTGCAGGGATAAATAATAACACGGGAAATGAAGGGATGAGGAAGTGTGGACAATGCCACAGGCTGCAGCTGTTAGATGGTGCATGGGATGTCCAGCCCCAAGCAGCCCCAGATCCTGCTGGGCCACATTTATTCTGATTTACCTCAACTCCCTTGGCCAAGGTTTCTCTAATTCTCAGTTCCCAAACCCCCAAAATAAAGGCAGGGCGTGTAGGAAGACACAGGGGATGGATGATTTGATGTCTGTGTGCCCTCACTGTCACCCTTCCAACCTTCTCCTGCTCAGGGCACCAGCAGCAGCATGAATAAGAAAGGAGACAGACTTGAACCCACCTTAAAGGGAATTGGAAAATAAAGCAGAAGCTAAGGGTTGAGAGGCAAGTCGAGGCTGTGATTTAGTCTAAGAAGGAAAGGTCCATCCATTTTCCTCAGGCATGCACTTTGGCTGTATCTCAGGGCTCACAGAGTGAGAGCTGGAGGTTATCATACCCACACATAACACACGCTGGACACATTGATATTCTCTGCCCACTGACCAGGTTACTTATTTTTTAAGAAATAGGAAAAAAACCCACAGTGGTACAGAGAGATTGAAAAAAACCCAACAGAATAAAGGAAATAAAGCAAATTTTAGTCCCTGCATTTCCCTGCAGAGTGCAAAGAATACCTGCACCTGCCTCGCTCTCTATTTTGGGATCTCTATCTGGAATTCAAAACATCTAGATGATTCAGTGTATCAAATTGTTATCAAAATCCAGGGAGCTGGAATGCTCTCTTCCTGCCCTACCCACACTGCTGCTGATAATTTCAATTGTCAGCATCCACGTATCCCTCATTTTACCTGAACATGGACTTTGGGGGTGCTCCCACACACACAAAAAAAATCCCTCCAATGTAAAACCTAAGCAATGCAAAGTTTCCACAACTAATTAAAAAAAAAAAAATTCAGCACCTCCAACACCTGCACAAACACTCTCACTACACTTCAAAAATTGATTTAGCAGAGCACCCAGGTTACACAGCTGGGTGCAGTTTGGTCTGAAATAGCTGGACTGGATTGATGCTCAAGGACCACAAGCCAAAGCCCAAAATAAATTGATGGGAACAAGTGAAAATCCATCTGTAATCACAGAACAAATTCACAGACTTCACTTCAGCACAGAGCAGCGAGCCCTGATGTTGGTGGATGCTGGCTGGCAGACAAGAATTGAGGCAGCCCATTACTTTTTTTTTTTTTTTTTGCAGTGTAAAGTCAAGGATGAAGGATATAAAAATTTAGAGACCTGCATTAGAAGTCTCACACACTGGCAAGTTATGGGATTTTGAAGGCAGGGAGGAAAACAGATTTAAAGGCTGCAATTCTGGTTATTTTTAGTGGGACAAATTATGCTCTACATCTCTCAAGCTGTATTAAAAAAAAAAACAGTTAGCCAAGTTTATTTGTCACAGAGTGAGGAGGGTGTAAGGGAACAATCTCTTTATGGCCAGAGCTAGAAAAATCCCACAAAGTCAGGCTCCAAGTGTGGTTTTTCCCCTTCACTCCCTCATAAAACAAAGTTGTCACCACTGCGTGTGTTTGAGCCTGCCTGGCCTCCAGCCAAGCCTCCCAAATCCCATTTTCTGCCTTCCAAGGCCCAGGGAAGAGCCCACACATGCTGTGCACAGATTTGGGGTGGGCAGGGGGATGCTGCTGAGCCCCAGCTCCCCACAGCTGTGTTTTACCTCTCTCTGCTCACTGCAGATCTTGCACAACCACAGGGGACGTTTCTGGGCTCCGACAGCTTCTATCCCACACTTGGTGCAAACTTTCTGAAACAAGGAGAGAGAAAAAAAGGAAGAAAGAAAACAAAAAGAGAGAGGTGGTGTTAGCAGCTCCCCACAGCCTTTGAGGGAGAGAAGGTTGGGAAGCAACAGCTCTGCTCTGCTCTCCTTAAAAACCTAACCCACGGCACAAATTCCCTGTTTTTCCTGGAGAACCCCTGACTGCAGGAAGATGCTGCGGGGCTGTAAGGACAGGAGACAAAGCACAAATCCACAGCACAGCCCTTGACTCCAGGGAGAGGAGAGAACTGGGCAGGGCAAATCAAACCCCACCACCCACAGGTGTATTTGCAGAGCTGCTTTTTTACTGCCCTGAATCCTAATCCCCAGTCTCTGTAAGCAGGCAGGAGTGCAGGATTGGGAATGTTCTCCTCCCTCCTCTCACACACACGTGTTGAATCTCACATTTTCCCCCCCATCCCAGCACACTGTTCTTGATCTGGGGCTGTTTAGCAGGTGGGCATGGCCATGGTTACACACATTTCCTGAACTCTGATGGCTCTGCACAGCCCTTTCTGCTGTCTCTGCTGGCATCCCAAGCCATTTACAGCCCAAATCTCCCAACATTACATAATGAAGCTGATGCCTATCAGCCCTGGCAGTGCAGCTGGAATGAGAAATGGGATGAATCCTTTGATCCTCACAGAGGAAAAGCCACTCAACAAGAGGAGAGCAAAAGCTTGCTGAGATATACCTGAGGATTGGATTCACACATCCCCCACACCAGGCTGCTCCTGTGCCCAGGGATGAAGGTCTCATCTTCCCCATCCCACTATTCCTGCCCTCATCCTCATCCTCCCAGAGAAATAATGAACAACCTGTTGAGCCTGGTGCACCAACCCTCCCCATGGTGCTTCCCAAGCCAAGGGGCACTGGCAGATTCAGCCACAGACCACCCAAAAGACCCCAAACTCTCCCTCCCACAACCCAAACCCCGAGGGAGCAGCTCAGCCTGGAATCCCCTCAAAAATCCCAATTCCCACACGGATAGCACATTCAAACGCTCCCTCTAGTGGAAATTCCCAACCGATTTTACTCCCAGCCACGAATTCTGAAAAATCCCAACATTAAAACGGTGTTTTCCTCCTCTCCTTCTCTGCAGAGTAGCTGGGAAATTGAGCATCACCCAGAACCCCTCGGAAGAAGACATAAAAATCAAGGGCATTAAATGCAGCCCCATTTCTCATTAAACACCAGACAAAGCACTTTCCTCTCCCACTCATCCTTCACCTTTTACACACACATATCAATCCCCTCTGCATGGTAAAGCACCTTGGGCTTTGTCTCACTCCTGCTGTTGTTAACACATCTGGCTTTGCACACCCCTTGGTCTTGCCACAATGCCTTTACTTCCCAGATAATAAAAAGCAATATTAAAAGTATTCTTTCCAAAGCAGGAAGTGGCACTTAGAAGATCCATCAGAAGTGCAGAACCTCTGTTCAGCAGGAGCCATTTACCTTGCTGAAGGTAAATTCTTTGCTGTGTTTCAGGTGCATCATTACAATTCCTGGCATTGAATTAAATGTGCTGCAATGACACGGTACCAGAGCAGCGCCTGCCAGAAAAATATGAACTTTAAAAAAAATTCATAATTCCCTGACAAATTGCTTATTGCACGCAGCACTCCATGAGTGATGGATATCCCTGGACAAGAGGGAACAAGCAGTTCACTCTGTGCGCTGCTGAAGGGTTGGCTGTTCCCTGAGTTTACTCCACAACATTAAAAAGAAGAAGGGGAGAAGCCCAGGGCACCCAGGCAGAATTGCCTTGGGCTGGCACAGAGCTGAAAAGTGCAGCTAGTCTGAAAGCAGCTGCAAAATGCACCCTGGAAAAGTAGGATCTCACTTAAATCTACCTGGATATGAATGCTGCTGAACTGCCCAGCAGACTCCAGACAAAAGGGAATAAAATCAAATAAATAAAAATTAAAAAAAAAATCCAGCTTTTCTCTGGGGTTTTCTGGTCACAGCCCTCCTCAGGGCAGGCTCACACTGTCCCACCAGCTGAGGGTCACTCCTAAAGGGACAGGGCTGGGAAGTGTCTGAAGCAGCCCCTGCCTCCTCAACAGTGCTCAGGGTTCACAGGAAATTGGCTAAAAAGCCCCATGGCAACGTGGCTTAGCTGGCTCCTGACAAGGTGAGGGCAGAACTGCCACGGGAAGAAGGCAGGAATAGAGCACATCCTGTTATTCCACATGCCTGAAATACAGGAAACAGCCAAGAATCCCCTGCCTGTCCCCTGACCCTTTGTTGTCCACAGTGCACAGAGACCACGCTGCTCCCACCAAACCCAGCCTTTCACTCCCCACTGCTGCTCCCTTCCACACCCCTTCCCTAAAAGCTGCTTCCCCCATGGTTTAGGAGCCAGGGGCTCCAAGATTTGTGTTTCCTTCCCCAGGCACTGCCTTAGAAGGAATTTTCTGCACGATCCCAGCGATTTCTGCAGCTCCCCGTGGAGGAACCTCCTCTGCACGAGGGCTGTGTCCCACAAATCCAGCAGTGCCACAGAAGGCTGTCCCCCATGTCCAGCCACCAGTCCATGGCAAAGCAGCAGGTTCTACCCAGCAGAAACTCTCCAGCACCCAGCAGGTTTCCTCACCTCGCCACAGGTGACACGCTGGCATGAAGGAACTCCCAGAGGGGAGTCCCCGGGGAAGATGGGCTTCAAGAGCAGGAAAAGCAGCCTCCCAGCAGAGGCAGGAGGAGGTGGTTGCCTCGGAGATAATAATCTCCACAGCAATACAGATTAACCCCTCAGCTGTGGAGCCAAGAGCAGCAGGAACCATCCCTGGGGTGCTGGAGAGCAGCAACACACGCAACACAGGCACTCCCTGAGGCTCAGGGCTGGAAAACTTGCACTGCTTTGGAGCTTGAGGATGGACTTGAGTCCTCCTGGAAGGTCTCAGGGCAGACCTTGCAAAGCTCACAGACTCTGTGGTGAGCTGTCTCTGATGGCTGCACACTCCTGCCCCTTGTCCCACGTTGCAAACCCCAAAACTCCAGCTGGGAGATGCAGAGGGGGCTGGCACAGCCCATCCCAGCACGGAGGGCAGCTCAGGCACTTTGGGATCCTGAGGAGTCTCTTATTATCCTGAGGAATCTCTTACTATCACCAGGATCCTGAGGGATCTCTTACTATCACCAGGATCCTGAGGAATCTCTTACTATCACCAGGATCCTGAGGAATCTCTTACTATCACCAGGATCCTGAGGAATCTCTTACTATCACCAGGATCTTGAGGAATCTCTTACTATCACCAGGATCCTGAGGACTCTCTTACTATCACCAGGATCCTGAGGGATCTCTTACTATCACCAGGATCCTGAGGGATCTCTTACTATCACCAAGATCCTGAGGAATCTCTTATTATCACCAGGATCCTGAGGATTCTCTTATTATCACCAGGATCCTGAGGATTCTCTTACTATCACCAGGCTGCCACAGAAAACTCGATGGTCTGACAGCACCAGTGAGAACAAAACGACCCTGCAGAGCTCTCCAGCCTCCAAGGGCCTGGTGGTGTTTTCCTAGAGAATCCTGCTGCCAGGAGCAGGCTCGTGTGAGCAAACCCACCTTTTTGCAGTCCTGGCAGAAGACAGAGGAGCTGCCCAGCAGCCCCAGCATCTCCCCACAGAGCAGGCACTGCGAGAGGCCGTTCCCCATGGCGTTCTTCCTCATGTTCTCCAGCCTCTCCACCAGGCGCCTGTGGGCACGAGGCAGAGCAGGGTCACAGCACTGCAGGAAAAACTTGAAGTGCTCAGAGCAGGCCAAGTCAGAAAGCACTGGGAAAGGGAAAAGGAGCTAAACCTGCCAAGCTCTCTCCATTTCCCATCCCCCTGAAAGCAGCAGGGCAGGCACTGACTTGCCCACGTCCCATTAGGAGCAGGAAGGCCAGGCTGAAGGCCAAAGACCAAAATGAGCCTGGCTGTGGCACAGGAATGGCACTAACTGCTCCCTGCTCCCTTCCACAGCCCATTTGGAAGACAGGAAGCACATATGCATGCACAACGTCTGCAACAGCAGGGCTGGGAGAGGGCAGGAAGGCAGGACAGGCAATTAGGATGCAGGGTGTGGAGAGCACGCAGAGCGAGGTTGCTCTGCCATGAGATCACTGCTTGGCAACCTTCAGGCCATCTGCAGAGGGGGACAGCAGCAGCCAGGCCATTTTTCAGCACCAGCAGCAGGAGGGAGTGACCCTGCCACCCATGAATCCCACTCTCATTAGTGCTAATGCCCCATCCACCAGGGCCCCCTTGGAGAGCAAGGCAAGGGCTGCCCGTGGTGGGCAGGTCAGGCTGCACAGCCAGAGAGAGCCATCATTAGTGGATTTATGATCCTCGACTCGGACTCTGGCACAAAAGAACTCCTGGGAGCTGACAAAAGGCATTTCAGAGAACGCCTCGCCGCAGGAGCTGCACGGGGAGCACTTGCTGCAGCTCCAGCAGCAAGCACACAGCAGCAGGCAGGTCCTCAGGGTCACTGGCTGCTGCTGGGGTCCCCCACTCATCACAAAAACATCACTGCCACTCCTCGTTAGCCCTCGCTAACGAGCTCTGCACAGGGAAGCAGAGAAGCAGGAATCTGGGCCTGCTGGACACGGGCTGGGAGTCGCTGGGCTTTGCTGTCTCACGAACACAAACCCTGCTGGGAAATGCTGCAGGGCTGCCCTGCTCTAAGGCAGGCAGCGTGGGATGATCACACAGAGCTCAGGCCAGACCTCCAGCAGGCCTGGGAGCAAATGGGAACCTGCAGCAGCAAAAGGATGCCTGTAAATTAAATAATTCAAGCTAGCAAACCCCATCCAGAGGGCTCAGCCAACTAGAACATCAACTCATTCTCTGCTCCAGGCAAAATCCCAGGGGCCTGGTGTGGACAAGGGAAAACCTGACTGCACTGCCAGCAGTGATCCTGAGCCACCCACACCCTGGGCACAGCCCAGCCTCTCCCAGAGCCCCTGCCTCAGCACCACCTGCATTTTCCAAGGACTGTCACGGCTGCAGCCTCAGCAGCCCCCAAGGCTCAAAGAAAGCACAAAAAGACTCCAGCAAGAAGGAAAACACGACATCCTCCCCAATGGTCATCCCCTCCAAACAAGCAGCTTGGGAGGGGAAAACCACTGACCTAAGGGATGCTCTGAGTGATGGAGGCTGAGCCCAGGCAGCTGGGAGAGCCAGTCCTGCCTTTGTGACCTTTTCTGGGCAGGGAAGGGACAGGAGCGTGGCCGTACCCGACGCGCTGCTGCTCCACCACGTCCAGCTGCTCTGCCTTGCGGATCACTCCCAGGATGACCTCAAGCTCCTTGGGGCTCAGAGCCTGCATCTTCCTCTGCTTCTCAGTCTGGAATGTGTGCACTGACCAGCCCGTCTGGAGCCTGTGGGAGGGGGTGGAGGGCAGGACTCAGCTGGGGAGGGGAGCACAAAGCCCCTGCCCTGCAGAGTCACGGCAGCTCCCACCAGGGAATGCTGTTCCACGCCTAAAGCCCAAAGCAGGAGGTTCCTCTCACTGAGCACATTTCCACACCACCCTCCCATCAGCAATGAGTTGCTGTGCTGCCTCTCCCTGCCCTCTGCCCTCCCTTTCTGCTGCTGTTTGTGTTTCACCACTGCAAGCCCCCGTTCCTGTCTGTCCCTAAAGCAGCAGCACCCCTGGGGCTGCCTCTCCTGGGCATTCCCTCACACAGGTGGCTGCTGGTGCCGGAGCAAACTCCCAAACGCAGGGATCACCTGCAGCCTCCTCCCTGCAGGATCCCACATCCCTCAGTTCAAACACACAAATCTCTGGGCACGCCTGGAAACACAAATTTGGCACCATCCTCCCTTGGTCTGGCCCAGGTTCACACGAGGACTGCTGCAAACCCCCCGTGCCTCACATGCAGCAGCTGATGCTTCTCCTTGGCTCACTTGGCAGCAGGCAGGAGCTTTCACAGCTCAATTAATTAATTACCATTCAGGAGGGGTTTGGAGGTCACTGGATAAACTTATGGCTGCAAGGAGGATGCACTCCTGGGCACCACTGCCTTGCTGGGGAGGTGGCACTGGGGTGCCCAGCCAGGCAGCCCCCTCAAATCATGGGGTGTTCCCCTATTTTCTAACACTGCAGCAGCAGCTGAGCCCAGGAGTTCAGGCAAGAGCAGAGGTGGCACAGTCCCAGCTGCCAGGGAATGAAAACATCCAAGAAAAATGCACTCCTAGAGCTTGACTCATCCCCATCCTTTTAGTCCTTAGGTTGTGCAGTAATTTTAACTTCGGGGAAAACGAGAACTAATGACAAGTTCCTAAAACAAAAGGGTGCTGGCAGCTGGGGAATGCCATCAATTATATTTATCAATTATCTTTAGGGTGCTGCAGAAATCCGAGGCTGCCTCCAACCCTTCCTTTCACCCAGGGGAGGGCTGTGGGATGGACTCCCAGGGGTGCAGGGTGAGTGCAAGAGCCCAGAGACACCAGGAAAGCTGTCAAGGCAGAGCTGAGGGTGGAAGGGGAGGAGGAGGAGGAGGGTGGGGAGGACTCACTTGGCTCTCAGGGCCAGCTGTCGGTCGTTGGGGCAAACCCAGGGGCCCGTCCCGCTGCCAAAAATCATCTCAGCCATGGCCCCAGCCTGGGGAGGGGTGGGGTGGCAGGAATCACACCTGGAAGAAGCAAACAGAGGTGATCTGCCAGCACCACACACAGTGGGAGCAGCCAGACTCACCCACGGACAGTGACAAAAACATACCATCACCCTCACAAAATATAAGCTAATAAATACCTTCAGATACCTTGAAGGCAAGGCTGGAAGTTTAGATTTTATGGTAGACTCTGGGGAGAAAAAAAAAAAAAGTCAGACACTCTTTGTCAGCCCTGATTTTTCATTTCAAACTAGAGAAAAGCGTTGTCTGTAAAAATAATCCCTGCCTCCCCACCTCCAGAGCCCCAGCGCTGCAGTTCTGACAGAGAAAGCCACTCCAAAGGACACAAAGGAGCTACAGTTGCCTTTTTTTTAACCTCTTAATGGGGTAACAAACAAAAACCCACGCAACAATCAGCATGAATAGTGGCAAGTCATTTCCTTCATTAAAACTGCCTCCATAATAGCCTGATATTTATAACTCCAGCCTACAATAGCAGCTTGTTTGCATTCTCTGATGCTCAAGACAGCACCTCCTGTAGCAGGTCTCCTGCTGTGGCTCCTGTCCCTGGCATGGTCACAGCAGTGTTCAGTGAAAATTCCACTGAACTGATCAGGAAAGGCAGCAAGAACCAACTTCCAGACGCTCATGGGAGAAACATCCCCCAAAGAGACTCTGAGCAGTTCTGAGCCCCATCAGCAGCTCAGATGAATGGAAAGCACCAAGGGACAGGCACAGCCAAAAGATTTCAATGGATGCTGAACTAGGCTTGATGCACTGAGCTTTTAACCAGCTGGATTTGCCCTCCAGCAGAGCGAGTGTCTCACCAGCCCTAACGCACAAATTCCCAGGTATTAATGCTTGTCCCCAGCACAGACACTTGCCAGCTTTGAAACCCTTCCTGCTGGGCAGAGATAACGTGTTTAATGCTGGTTGGCAAGCAGGAACCAGCTCCTGGTTGATACCCAGGTGTATCACCTGCCAGCCGTGCTGGAGTTCCCAAGCAAACTCTTTTTTTCCCAGCCTCACTCCCCAGCAGGGCTGCAGCCACCCCTGCTGTCTGCTGCTGCCACGCTGAGCTCTGTGCTGCTGTGCCAGCCTGGTGGCCTTGGCCCCCTCACACAGAGCTTGTGCACATCAAACCCTCCCTGCACATCAAAATCATCCCCCAGCACAGAAACACCAGCCTGGGGCAGAGGACTGACAGCTCCCTCCTGCCAAACCCCCCCGAGCCAAAATCAACCGGTTCCCTCCTCTCTGGCCATCCCAGTTTCTGGGAAGAGCCTGAAAATGCAGCGCTTACAACAGGCAGGAGGGGAGAGGGGAAATTCCACACAGATTTCTTTCAGTGCAAGGGGAAATGTGTGTAGAAGAGGGGAAGGCTCAGCAGAGTCTGACTTCTGCAAAGTGAGGCGTGGGGGAAATGGGAAAGCTGCAGGAAGCAGGGCTGAGGCAGGAAGGACAGACAGGAATGTCACACAGGATTTTTTTAAACCTTTACCACTTCAGTGATGGCTTTTGAAAGAGAAGAAAACCTTGAACCCCGGCACTGACTGCTCTCCCTGCTCTGCTCAGTGCCACACACTGGGTTTGCATTTCCATTCAGCGCCAGAACACCTCCTGCTCTTTTAATCTTCCTGACAATCTCCTGCGAGGAGAGAACAGGAGAACACCCTCCCCACTCCCATCCCACAGTGCTCACACCCAGGGGAGCAATCAGGCATGAACAGCACAAGAACACAGAGGCTCCCACCCTCAGGCCTGAGTTAGAAGCAGAGAAAAGCTACAATTGCACACAGAATGGCTGACCTGGGATTTTCCAGAGATTTCCCAAGCCTGTGATGTGTGGTTACAGGATTATATGCATATGTAGCCCCCCACACAAATGCATATATTAAATTACTCCTCAGCTGCACCATGAATTCCTCCCTCCCACTCTGAACACCTGAAGAACAGCACAGCCCACACTCTGTGTCCATGCAGGGCTCCAGGCAAGCAGCCTGTGCTGGCTTGGGGGGGTCTTTGGAATAAAAGCTAGAGCTGGAGATGAGCCCCACAGCACAGCCAGGGCAGAGGAGTTTGCTTTGCCAGCAGCTCTCAGGGTGGAAAGCAGTGCTGGAAGCATCAGCCCCTCCTCAGCAGAGCTTTATCTGCTCCACCAGAGCTGCAGGCGAGTCAGAACAGAGCACATGAGCTGAGCGTTTTTCTCAGGAGAGGCTCAAAGGCATTCTCCAGCCTCACAGCACAGTGAGCTTTGCTCAGCGTGACTGCACGAAAACAAGCAATGTCATGGTCCTTTGCCTCTTGTTACTCAGCACAAGCTCCCTGTCCTCCCCCTGCCCTGAGCAGCGTCTGCAAAGAGAGAATTCAAACAAAACGCAGCCTAAAGAGCCACCAGATCCCAAAAGAGTCTTCAGAGAGATTATTCCCTGAAATATTTACAGGATGTGCCGTCTCCTCTGGTGAGATCTGCTGGTTTTCCACTTTTGCCTCTGGAAAAAGCCTGGTGGGGACACACCTCGAGGAAGGAAAGAGGAATGGGACTGCAGGGCATGGTCTGCTGGGGAAAGGCAGGGCTGGAGGGAAAGGACTGTTTCTCGTGGGTGTGGGAATGATGCCAGAGGAGTGGAAGGCACGGAGCATCTTCTCTCTTATCTCAGTACAGGACAAGAAGTGCAGGGAAATCAGAAACACCCAGATAGCAAAACCACACCAGCCTGGGGAGTTGTTTCCGTGGGCTGTGGCGAAACATCCCCCTCCTGCAGTGTTGCATTTTCCCTCAAAACTACTCCAGTTAGCACCAAGCCATCCCCTCCCTCTCCTCTCCTCTCAACAAACTAACGAAGGGTAGAAGCAGCCAGTCTCTCCTGGTGAGAGAGCAAGAGAAACCCACAGCTCCTGGCCCACCTCAGGTGCCCTGCACACAGGTGACAGCAAAGCACGAGCACTTCATGGCACAGAAAAACCTCCCGCTCCAGGCTTCCGCTTTTTACCTGAATTCACAACTAAAAGGGGAGCTCTTATCGATATTCTGCGACCTGCTGTAAAACCACTCCACCTGCTCATTCCTTTCCTGTGATGGAGGAAGTCATGTGAGACAAAACCTCATTAAATGTGAGTGCAGCTGGCTGCCCTTGGCACAGCAGCCTTGGCACAGCAGTGCCCTGCAGGGCCAGGGGCATCCTGGAGGATGCAGACCCTGCTGCAGCTCGGATGCGGCTCCTTCTCTGCTGTCTCCACGAAAAGATTTGTACTCTGGCAACCAGAATTCAGAACACAACTTCAGTCTGGGAGGGAGAAGCCTTCCAGTGGGCCTGAGTGAAGGGAGCAGTGGCAGGCACAGCCCTCGGACATGATGCTCTTCAAAGAATTGCTGGGAAAGAATCGGGGTTTTCTCAGCAGAACATCAACGTGAGCATCATTTATTTGAATTTTACCTCAACAACAGCACAGACACAGCAGGTTGTACCTGCCACCTCACCTGCTGCAAGAGGCCTAAGGGAGAATATAACAGCACAGCAATATTTATATAGGGGATTTTTTAATTTATATATTTATTAAGGGAGAATATAACAGCACAGAACACCCTCCCAGCCCCCAGACATTCCTGGATCATGCACTGCCTGACCCAGCCTGCAGCTCTGTTTAACACCCTCAACATTTTCCTGCCCCAGATTTACCAGCTTGCCTTTCCAGCATGGTCTCACCACACCGAGCCCCTTCCCCACTCCTCCACCTCAGACATTTTGACTTCACCCTGAGCACACCAAAGCTGAAACTGAAGGGTTTGGCCGACCCTGAGGTGCTTGTGGCACAAAAAGCTCCTCGTGCAGCGACAGCACAGCCTGCCCAGCCCTCCTGCAGCTGTGCCCAAAAAGCATCAATTCCTCAGAGCCCTGCAAAGACAAAAAATCCTACACAGCCCCACGAGGAGGCCTCCAGTCAGCTTTCATTTGCCTGCCTATTTCAGCTGAGCAGCTCGTGTCTAGATTAATTTGTTTTCATAGCAAATTAATTAGATGATGACTTTTTTTTTTTTTAAATACTTCATTTTACAAAAATCAAAATGAAGCAGTTGGCTGGAGCCAAGCTCCCAATTCCCAAGCTGTGTAATTACCTCACCTGCTCCCAGGGCATCACCTCCCCCAGGATTCCCAGGTACCTGCTGGCCCTTTTTCCCTCCAAGAAATCAGTGTTGTGAAAAATGCTAATTACTTGGGCTAAAATTTTAAAAGTTTAATAGTATAAAAATAGTAATAAAAAATTAGAGCAATAAGAATTTGGACAATCAGAGTTAGGACAATAAAAAGGTAAAGAACTATGAACGTTTGGATGTTTTCTTCAAAAAAGCATGTCTGCTAACAAAGGATTAACTTCTAAATCCTTTTTAGGATTTAGAAGTTAGTATATAATATATATATAATATATAATTTTAGGATTTAGAATTTAATATATAATATATATAATATATAATTTAGAAGTTAATATAATATACAAACTATATTTTCATATTCCTGTATGAATATGAAAATATATATTCATACATTTTATACATTATGCAAACATTCTTTTTAAACTAGGGAGTTTTTTGTTTATTGTCAACTCCCCCCCACTTCATCTTGTAAATTATGACTTGGCTCTGTGGAGTCTGTAAGGAGGTAGGAGTTTGGTTCTTCTCAATAAGGAGGTAGTAATTTTTCTCTTTGGGATTTTAGTGTCCTGTTGTTGTTATCTCTGTATGAATAATTTCTTGATTATCTTATCCGTTCCTTGAGCTAGTTAGAAAAGTATCTTTCATCACACAGTTTCTATTTCAACATTATCTTACAGCCTAAAACTATATTTAACACACCACTTAAAAGAATTAATACAGCATAACTTTCTAACACAACACATATAATATTCATTTTAATATTTGCAAAAAAGCCAACCATACAATCCTCATTTTCCACAGTGTAATCACCTCCTGCTCTGCAGCCAGACCCCATTAGCCCCGGGAAACCTTGGCAACTGAGGAGTGTTTGCTGGTGTTGCCATGGCACGGGGCAAATGAGGGGCAGGGATTGATAAGGTGAACCCAGCCCAGCAGCAGGAAGGTTATTTGCTGCAGCCACTGCTCTTCCCCTGTGGTTTAAAACCCCCCAGCTGTATTTCAGAGCTGGTTTGAAGTGGCAGGAGAGCCCTCGGGGCTGTAGGAAATGCAGAGTTTTGGCTTTGATGGTCTGGAGCCAGAGCAAGGCTGAGTCAGGGCTTGGAGTTTTTTTTCCTCACACCTGAACCACCTGGAGCTGCTCATTCACACCCACATCCAGCAGTGCCACAGCCCCTTCAGCAGGAGCCTGCTGTGGGCACCAAAAAATGCTGGAAAATTACTTTATAAGGGCTAAGCAGAGCCAGGAGATCCCCAGCACCTCTCTCAGGTCTTGGCATTCCTTACCAACCCTCAGCAGCAGATGGAGAGACAGGAGGCACAGGGAACCCAGGGATCAGAGCTGACACAGGGATCCAACGGGATCAGAGCTAACACGGGGATCCAACGGAATCAGAGCTGACACAGGGATCCAGTGGGATCAGAGCTGACACAGGGATCTAATGGGATCAGAGCTGACACAGGGATCCAGTGGGATCAGAGCTGACACAGGGATCCAATGGGATCAGAGCTGACACAGGGATCCAGTGGGATCAGAGCTGACACAGAGAATCCAATGGAATCAGCTGACAGAGAATCCAGTGGGATCAGAGCTGACTTGCAGCCCAGGCCAAAACAAACACCACAAAGCTTTGCCAAGCTTGGGGACAACAGCTTAAGGACCCAATCAGTCAGACTTTCCCCTGAAAGCTCAATCTAAGCAGCATCAGCGCCAGCAAAACGGGGACAACCTCCTTCAGATCCTCATTGAGGCTGGCCCAGCCCAAATCAAACACCAGCTGGGAGGTGTCCTTATGGTGAAAGGCCAAGCTGGTAAAGAAGTGGGTGAGCATGAGGTTTGGAGGGGAAAACCAAGAAGTTTCCTCTCCACCAGAGCTGCTTCCCAATCCCAGCAGCAGCAGCAAGAAGCCAAACTGCTTTTAAGATGCAGCTTATAAAGAGTTTTTAAAATACAATGCCCTGGAGGTCCATGCCAGTCCTGTGAGTGGGAAGATAAAATCAGCTCGACAGGAAAGCCGACATCCAGCACCAACAATTCTTTATTAACGAGAGGCACTCGTTAGCGTGGCTACCTGAGATATGGTGAGCTAAAAAAAAGAAAAATAAAAAAAAAAAGAAAAACCCAAAAAAACCAAACAGGTTTTGCCAAAGCAAAGCAGCCTCCAGGTGCCCAAGCACCCCTTGATGCTGGGGAGGAAAGCCAGCACTGTTCCACCTGCCAAGGTGTATCTGTATTTATCAGACTTTGGACCCATTTCCTCCTGATCCCCAGCCAGGCAGGTGCCTTATGCAAAGTGAATAATTCATGAAGACAGCAGGCTCTTTCCGACTCGAAGTTCGGGGCAGGTTGATCTGGCGTAGGCCTGGGAGAAGCAAATTAGCATCTAAATGGCCAATTAGAGAAACTCATTTCACTATTCCGATATGCTAAAAAGCTGGGGAGGCCTGAGGCTGGAGGCTGGCAGCGTGGCACCTCCCAGCCTCCAGAGAAGCATCAGGTTTCTTAGAAAGAATTGGGCAGAGGGAAGTGCTGAGCACAGGCCAGCTTTGTCAAGGAATCCCGTGCAGAAGAGGAGCCTCGTGCCAGGCTGTTTCACGGGAACTCCAGTGAAGCAGGAAAAGAACAGCTCGTGGCCGTGGAGAAGCCCTGCTGAGCAGCCAGGCCTTGCCAAAAAATTCCCTGTCCAAAGAGCCACAGGCCTGCTGGCACATCTGGGGGATGCAATAGCTTTTCTCGGCATCCTTAGGGTGTAATACTGGTTTTAGGCACCCTCTGAACAACACCACAAACGAGGCTTTTATCACCCTGGACATCGTTGCTATGAGCACAAAGAAAGCCGTGGACTTTGACCAGGTGCTGGAGAGCACCTGAGCCAACCTGCAGCACCCCAAAAACGCCGAGGGTGGGCACAGCACATCGCTGTTCCCTCACCCATCACCTAAATCCCAGGACAATCCAGCCTCCCACGGGCACACGTGGCTTCTCCCACCTCCCAAACTCCCAAAAGCAGGACGTGCCTGGTAACTTTTCCACACATCCCTCTCACCTCCCACCTCTGGCTCGTTTCCCTCCACATCTTTGCCACTTACAGTTAATTCCCTTCAGGAGCCCGAATCCCACCTGAATTCCCAGAAGGGCTGGGAAGGGGCGGCGGAGCTCCCAGGACACATCCCGGCCACCTCCCAGCTGCTCCCGGAGCCTTTCAGGGAACTCTCCCCCTCCTCTGGGTGTCCCTGGTCCCTCCAAGCCGCTCCCATTCCCAGAACCCACAAACCCCAAACCCTCCAAGCTGCTCCCCATTCCCAGAACCCACAAACCCCGAACCCCCCAAACTTCTCCCCATTCCCTGAGCCCACAAACCCCGAACCCTCCAAACTGCTCCCCAGTCCCAGAACCCACAAACCCCAAACCCTCCAAGCCGCTCTCCATTCCCAGAACCAACAAACTCCAAACCCCTCCAAGCTGCTCCCATTCCCTGAGCCCACAAACCCAGAACCCCCCAAACTTCTCCCCGTTCCCAGAACCCACAAACCCCGAACCCCTCAAACTTCTCCCCGTTCCCAGAACCCACAAACTCCGAACCCCCCAAACTTCTCTCCGTTCCCAGAACCCAAAAACCCCGCACCCCCCAAGCTTCTCCCCGTTCCCAGAACCCACAAACCCCGGGCACGCCGCTTCCCCTCCCGGTGCCCGGCAGCCGCTGAATCTCAGCTCAAACTCCGCCCGGAGCGGCCCAAACCGAGCCGAGTTAGGCTGAGCCGAGCCGAGCCGAGCCGAGCCGAGCCGAGCCGAGCCGCCCCCCGCACCCACCTGCGCTCCGGCCCCAGCGGCGCTCGCTGCGCGGAGCCGCTGCCCCGGCGGGACGAGGCGGAAACGGAGCCGCACCTGCGCCCGCCCCCGCCCGCCCTCCGCCCCCGCGGGGCCGCGCGTCCCCTGCTGGTGTCCGGAGCGGCTCCGCCAGATGTGCGCTGGGAGCGGCTGGAGGGATGTGGGCACAGCCAGATGTGGAGAGAGAGAGGCTGGAAGGATGTGGGCACAGCCAGATGTGGAGAGAGAGCGGCTGGAGGGATGTGGGCACAGCCAGATGTGGATAGGGAGAGGCTGGAGGGATGTGGGCACCACCAGATGTGTATAAGGAGGGCCTGGAGGGATGTGGGCACAGCCAGATGTGGATAGGGAGAGGCTGGAGGGATGTGGGCACAGCCAGATGTGGATAGGGGGAGGCTGGAGGAATGTGGGCACAACCAGATGTGACCTGGGAGTGGCTGGAGGGATGTGGGCACAGCCAGATGTGACCTGGGAGAGGCTGGAGGGATGTAGGCACAGCCAGATGTGACCTGGGAGTGGCTGGAGGGATATGGGCACAGCCAGATGTGCCCCAGGGCCCGTGTGAGGCTCCAGGCACTGCCAGATGTTCAGCAGGAGCAGAACAGGGCTGTGGGCACAGCCAGATGGGATCCAGGTGAGGCTCAGGGGGATGTGGGCACAGCCAGATGTGCCCCAGAACCTTTTCTGAGCTGTGGGCAGTGCCAGATGTGCATCCCAAAACAGAGGAAGAACCCACGGGAAAAATACACCCAACCATAAACAAGGAAAGGTGGTACCAAAACAAACCCCGAAAAAGACCAAACACAAAGTTTCCCCAAACAATAACAACAAAAAATACCCACCCAAAACAGAAACAAAACAAACAAAACTACCCAACCAAACAAACCACAAACCCACACAAACAAAATAAACCCCCCAACAGCCAGAAAAAGAAAAAAAAAAAAAACCAAAACAAAAACCAAACCAACCCAAAATCCACACAAGAAACAAACAAAAACCCAACCCCAACAAAAAAGGAACTTTGCAGGGATTAAAAAAAATGTTCACACCAAGAGCAGAACAAGGACACCTGCCAGGCCTGGGACAACCACAGAGGGCTCAGACCTTTTAAAACTGAAGGACCCAAACCTCCTGAGCAATCCCAATTACAGACATTGCTGGTAATAGCAGCAAAATTTGGCTTTGTGGAGGAATGCTCCAGGATCCCTGGGATGCTGTGGTGAGTCAGCAGCAAATCACAGGAACACAATTATTCCTTTGCACCAGAACACAGGAATTTGGGCTCCTTACTGTCTAAATGTCCAGTTGATGCTGTGAGTGAATTTGCCATGTGACAGGAAGGGATGGGGGGAAATGGCAGAGGGGAAAGAGAAAGGAGGAGAAAATAAATTGTGTTTTTACTGCCCTTTCAGAGCTGGCTCTTGAGAGATCTGGAGCCTCTGCAAATGCTCTCACCTGCACACATCCAGCAGCCCTCAGGGTCAGCTCAGGGACCCTCAGCCACCTTGCACCTGAATCAAGCTCAAGTCTAAGCAGATATTTTTCTTTCTGGTTCAGGCAACTGTTGAAAAATACATCAGAGGGAGCATTTTGCATGAACACAGAGCCTGTAGCTCTGTGGAAGAAAACACTTGATGATGACATTTCGCACCAGGGTAGTTCTTCCACACAGTCAATAATATAAATAAATTAAACACACGGTTCAGCCAACTTCAGGAAGAAGATAAATTACCTTATTTAACCAGCTGTGCTGGCAGGGAAATGACACACATCTCAGAGCCTGCATCCATCCTGCTGTTGAATTTGCTTGTCAGGATCCCCACAGATGCTCCAGAATCTGCAAGGTTGGGCCTTGGCAGCCGGGTGCCACAGAGAATAAATGTGACGTTACATTAAAAAAAATTTAAAGGCTAAATACAGGTTTTATCTTCGATAGCACCGAGTCAATTTTTAATAGACTCGTTTCTCAGAAGCCAGGCACTTCCAGTTCCACCCAAAGAACCCTTCAAAGTCTCTCTTTTATCGATGATGGGTTTTGCTGAATTATTCACCAGATCACAGCTGCCAGAGATTTGAAATATCCCCGTGACAAGGACAATGAGGGATAACAGCCTCCTCCTGCAGGCTCACCAGTGCTGCTGGCAGAGGCACCGTGCATGCCCTCAGCTGATCCCTTCTCCCCTCCTGTGGCACCTCAGGCTGGGATGTTCCTCAAGGAATGGCAAAGAAGGAGCAGCTTTTTGGAGAGGTTAAACTCGTGGGTGTGGTGCCCTGCAGAGGAGCCACAGGTGCTTAAAAGCAGCTTTATTGTACAGCAGAATGGTCCGAGCTGGAAGAATCCTGGAATGCTCCAGGATTCCCAGTTGGACACTGGGCTGGTGAACACCAGGAGGTCAGACTGGCTGGATCCTTATTTTGAACAGCCATTTCCCAGGAAAACAGGAGCAAGGAGCTGTCTGGCACTGCTTCCCCATCTGCCTGACTGCCCCAGCTCGGTTCAGCAGCCTCACAATTCACAGCAAGAAGTCCAGGGCTTTTCTCCAAGCTGTTGCTCTGATTGCAATCCTCTGATTCAATTTGTGTTCGTCCCTCTAATTACCTCCCCTTAATAAAATGTCAATGATTCTGTCCCTAATCTGAACCAAAAAGGTCTTGTTTACAGAGCACACCTGCTCAAGGGTGTACAAGACAAAGCAAACGCTGGAAGAATACTGATGCTTCACAGCAAAATCTGCTTATTTTTAAACCTGTTTTAAAGAAAAATTCCCAATTCTGATCCACATTTTGCTTGCATGGGCAAGGCTCAGGTGTAATTCTCCTTTCCTTGTTCACACTGAGCCTGCAGCACCCACAAGATCATTTCACAAGGCTTCCTTCGTAGCCCATGTGTAGATCCATGCAAAACTTCTGTGCCTCTGTGGCACAGGAAAATGATGCACATTTGGGAATAAACTGAGAAATTTAGAGAAATTTCTCTGTGTAGTTGTATTCAAAGTCAAAAAGTGCACCAGGGTTTGCCTGGGGATGATGCCCTTTCAGGATAAGCTGATCTGCTGCCAGGGGCACCCCAGCTCCCAGCCCCTGCAGCAGCAGGTGGGGCAGGTCCACCAGGAGAACACTGCTCCTACCTCTGCTGGCATTCCAGGGAAAAGCTGTCAGAAGATGATTTTCTTTACAGGCAGCTCAGGCCAGCAGCTCCCCCTGGGCTCTAATTTTGGCTGGCGAGTCAGGTTTTATCGTAATAAAATTAACAACCACCGCCACTTGTCATTAGCAACAAGCAATCCCCTTCCAAAAATACCGCGCTGCCTCCCCAGTCTGGATGAATTATTTACACCCCATCACTGCTGCTGCTGTTTCCTTCTCTTCTGTCCTGTGTCACTGTCCCTTTTATCCACAGGCAGGCTTTGGGGACCCTCTGGCTGCTGTCCAGCATCAGCAATCACCATCCCTGGGCAGGAGAGCATCGGTGGGAGCAGGAGCCTGATGCCACCACCTGTCCCAGTGCCACCAGCAGCGCCACATTTCGACAGAGCAGGAGAAAAGAGGAAGGGAGGAGGAGGAAAAAGCACCCAAAAAGGATTAAACCACATGTTCCTCCCAGGGAGAGGATGTCTAAGAGGAGCATGGCTTCAGCAGCTGTTCCTGGAGTTGTGAGGAAGGATTTTCACCTCTGGAGGAGATGTGCTGATCTCCCTGCTCTGAGGGTCTCACTGCTCTTCCCACCAACCCCCAGCAGCAAGGGCAGGGCTGCACCAGCCCCAAAAACCTCAGAGAGTTGCTGCTGCCCCAGAAAATGTGCTTCCACTACTCTGGTGGGAGTGAAGGTGGAGAGGGAGGGAAAGGAAAAGGCAAACTGGGCAAGAGGAAGGGAAACAGGGAGAGGAAGGAAGGGAAAGATGAGTTTCCCTCAGCACCTTGATTTACACGGCTGAGCTGTGTGAAGGGGATGTTTTGGGGTTTGGTGCTTCCCCTGCCAATCCTGCAGCACCTCGGGGCTGGGACAGGGACAAAGGACAAGGGGACAAGGGACAGGCACAGCCCAGCAGCTGCTCACACAAAGGGATGGGATGATTTGGGGTTCGGTGCTTCCCCTGCCAATCCTGCAGCACCTCGGGGCTGGGACAAGGATAAGGGACAAGGGGACAAGGGACAGGCACAGCCCAGCACCTGCTCACGCAGGGGACAAGGGCACGGGAGCTGCTCCCAGCGACAAAGAGGCGAGTTCAGGCTTGTCCCTGTGCCACCCTGCCCTGGAGAGCGGGAGGGAAGGCGCTGGCATGGAGGGGAGAAGGCTGCACGGAGGAGAGGGGAAGGGAGAAGGTGAGAAAGAGGAGGAGGAGGACTGAGGGGAGATGGGGAGGAAGGCTCGGAGGGGAGGAAGGTGCAGAGGGGTCACAGACAGGAGGAGGAGCTGGGGCTGCTGGATTTTCTGCTCCCTGCCAGGCCATTCCAGCGCTGCTGGGCAGCAGAGGGAGCCGGGACCCCCTCCAGCAGCTGGCACGAAGCCACCAGGGAGGAAGAAGCCACCAAGCAGGAGTGCCACCAGTGCCAGCACCGCCAGCACGAGGGCAGGTGAGAAAAATCTGCTTTTCCCAGGAAATCACCCATGGTGCTTTAAAACCTTGCCCTGCCCCCTGTTCATACACAGATTTTCCTCTCTAGCTACAGATTTATCCCAGAGATGGAGCACATGTAACTACACGGAATAAGCAGTAGGAGGCACAAGGCACCTGCCAGGGAGTAGAGAATTCCATAAACTGCCCGGGATTTGGGATGCTGTTAATATTTAGGGGATATTTAAATATTCAACCTTGCAGCGGGTTACAGCACTGATCTATCAGTGGGGGTTGGTAAAACTACAGAAAAGGAAGGGTAATTACAAAAAAAAAAAAGATCTGTGTAAAGGAGTAATTCCATTCATTTCCACTATCTTA